CTTTCACAGCTGGCTTTTCAGCTTGACCATGGGCTCCTCTTGGGCACAGGGCTGTGTCCCACATTCTGAGACTAACATGTGGAAGGAAACTGTGACCTCCAATTTCAATCCATAGCAGGTTTCTCCAAAATGTTGGAGAGAGAAAATTGGTCACAGACTAACAGTCAGAGAGAAAAGCATTGCAAGGATGCAGTTGATGGTGTCCTAGGAAGAGAAAGCTATTTCCCTGGAGAGAAAGGCTTGTATGGGAACAACAGATATAAGAGAAGTATCAGGTTGTGGAAATGCCCCGAAACTACAAGTCAATCAAAAACCAAGGTTCTTTTCTCTGTTAACTTTTTTTATAGAGTCTTGCTTGAATTAAACATGGCACCATGGAAATCCAGGGCATGTTTCAGTAAATTGTAAAAAATGTTGATTTATTTAGGTTAGAAATCAGTCTCTAAGCAACCGGTTTTGAAATGTTTATGAAAACTGTGCAAATATTTTGGGAATAAAAGTTTTGATTTTTGTTTGTTAAAATGCTCATTTAAAAAGAGTTCATCTAAGTATTCAAATATGGTTTTCTTTTCATAACAATTGTCTTGATACTTGATTATCTGTGGCAGTCATGAGAATTGCACCTTGAGAACCTCCTACTAGAGGAAGCTGACTTACTGAGGGACAGCCAACTGTGCATTTTCGCAGAGGTAACCTCTCTGATGCCCAAGTGTGGTGGGCATACTCAGACCTATTATTGAGAGACAGGGGATGCTTCTCAGCTCACTTTGTTAAAGTTTGAAAGCTATTAAATTCAGGGGAGATTTGTTATAAAACAAGAGATAACTAATACAACCCCTTAAAGCCATTTACTTATGTTAGTTTTTAGTGTACTATGTAGTTATTATATATAATATATTACAATAATGATATTTATTGGGCATTTATAATGTTCCAAGTACTGTTCTAATTGCTTTACATGAATGGAGTTATTCACAGCAACCCTATGACATTTGTGTTATTATTATTTCAAATTCATAGATAAGAAAGCTGGAGTGATGGAGAGGCTAGGTAACTTTCCTAAGGTCACAGCACTGGTAAGTGGTGTTAACGGGACTTGAACTTGGAAGTCTACTTTCAGAGCCAAGCTCTCCTGAGGTGACAGTCAAGCTGTCACCTGGGGCTGTAGTCATCTCGAGGCTCAGCTAGTGGTAGAGAATCTGTTCCCAAGTTCAGTCACATAGTTGTCAGCAAGTCTCTGTTCTTGCTGTTTGATTTTTGGCAGGAGGCTTCCTTCCGCACCATGGGAACTTATCTCATTAGTGAGATTACAAATGAGATCATACTATATAGAGTTTGGTTTTTTTACCCCACCCCGAAATATATTGTAAATATTTTTCCATGTAACTAAATCTATTTCTAATCATCATTTTTTTTTAAGGTTTGGATGCAAATTGTCAACTTGAAAAGGCAGATGCTTTTAGGCAAATCAGCTAAAATATCATGGAAATACTCTCACTTTATCTTCTTTGATTTATGCACAATATCAGGGAAACTTCACTCATCAGTTGGCTGTCGACTTCTTTGAGTCATTACTATTAAAAAAAGCAAAATTTGTGTTTTTTACTTGACAGCAGAGATCTTACCTGCAATTTATTATTATATACTAACATTTATCTTCTTTTTTTGCAATTATAAGATAACTTATAAAACTTGAAATTCTACAAGAGCTAAATATTCTATTTTTCAGTGCTAAATGTAGAGCTATGCAAATTAACAGGAGTGATTCACTACTATAGTGGAGACAAAGTATTTTCAGTAATTGAAAATTTCTTACTGACTTGTCTGAATTATTATGTTTTTTTGGTGTTATGATAATGAAAAATAGTCTGCCAAGGGTAGCAGGAACATTTCTCTCATCTCTGAGTTTCACACGAAGGCATCCTACTTAGAGGTTCTTTATTATTGGTTTATGAGAAGAAAGCTCAGAGAGGAGCTTTGCACTGTTGGTTCCACATTTCACTTTGTATGTGAAATTGGCTTAAAAGAGCCCCATACTAATTGTCTTTACAAACACAAACCCTACACCTTGGGGAAAAGGAAGTCAATAAGATGAACACCTACACCTTCAAACTGATGTTTCAGGCATGAGATCACTCTAGAGAAAATTAATCCCAGTAGGTGGAATCTAAAGAAAAGGAAAACTTGAAAAACAACAACAAAATTGCAGCTATTCCAAGAAAAACTCATTCCAAATGAAGCAAATTCTTCATTTTTATCTGTTAAATATGCCATTTGGTTATATTTTTTTCTTCTTAATCTAAAGAAGAGAGTATAGAATTGTAGGGCTTCCCAGTGTATCACTCCTTGAGACCTCCCTAATTTCTTGCATTGCTCTTTCTTTCACTGAAATGTACTAACTACTTACAATAGAATAGAATACAAAAATTCATAATATTTTTCTATTTTCCACCAATATTATTCATGTACGAGAGAAATGAGTTTTCCCTAAATGATAGTCTAAGTCTTTAATGAGTTTTAGATTTGGCATAATTCTGTAAATCCTTTCAGTGCAATATTCTTTAGGGACTGGATTATAATTTGTTGAGTATATCTTTCACACACCAAGTTACTTAGTTGACTCAATTTATGACATATAAGCCAGAGTGTTATTCTAGGAAGTTCCTATGGGTTCAGAATCTCTATTGCCTAGGACTCAATGTGCCCTTCTAACTCTGCTATTTAAAAACTGGGTATAGGAGGGAACCCAGCACTGAGTGATTGGAGCTATGCGTTACGTATTGTTTTGAACATTATGGCTGACTAATGAGAATTTATGACTTTGGGGTAATAAGTGGGAGCTGAGGATGAGGTAAGTTTTTTTTCTTTAGAAACTGGAGGTTCAATTTATTTAATACTCTTCAGAAAACACCACTAGAGTAAAGTTTAGCGCAGAATCAGATGTTTAACACCATTTTCATTTCTTCAACTGGTGTGAGTGTTACAGGAAGCCATTTATAGGCACTAAACACAAGGACATAAAAATAAAAGTTCATTTAAAATGGGCCTTAAGTCTAAAACTTACTTGAACAAATTTATTACTTCAATTAGGATAAAATATATAATTTAAATAACTATAAATAATTAATGTGTAAATAGCATGTGGTCCCAAACAGTGTTTGCGTGGTCTCCAAAACAATGAGGCAATTACGCACAATAAAGAGAAATACACACAGGAGACCCTGCAGTAGGATGCTATTCTACACGTTACTGATCCTTTTGGAGGGGTTTGTTGGGCTAAAAGAACACACTGAAGATGTGTGGTTAACATTTTAACATTTTAAAGCTTGGTGAAAACCCTTAAAAGTTTCGAATGCGTAAGTAACTTTTGTCTCCTGGAACGGAATTTATATTGTCAACAACACTTCCATTTAATTGTTGGTGCTTTCCAAAAGAGAACTAATCAGTGGTTTCTATTTACTGTTTTCATTTCTAAAGAGCTTAAAAACCAGTGTTTGTTTTAGACAATTTTCAAGGAAAATTCAGGCTTAGCAGGAGGCTCTTGACAAAGCTCTCCCTGCTGGGTGGCCAGCTGCCTAGAGGGACTGCCTTGCGGGACTGAGGCAGGCCGTCACCGCTGCCCAGGGCCAGGATTCACGGTAGACGCTTCCTATCTGCTGGGCCGCATGCATCCTCACAGCCCTGTGCTCCCTGAACAGGAGAGCCTGCTCTTTCAGCAGCACCTGAACGTTTTACTTCTCTCCATCTCCTCCCTTTTCTTCTCTTTTCCATTCTGCTTATTTTGCCTATTCTGAAAATTAGTTAAAAACTTGCGACACAAAAGCATGAATTCTTCACCTGCTTACAACCAACTTTCTCTCTTTGTTTCCCAGTACCTGGCGAATCTTGAGGGTTCTTTTTCATGAAAAGTCTACTATTTGGCACTTAAGCTCCCTTTGCAGGATGGGCTCATTTTCTCTAAGCTAAATCCAAGTCGTGTTTTACATTTTCCTTCAAAATACACTTCTTCTGGGCAAATCCATGACTAATTGACTCACCACAGATGGTCTCTGTTAAGCCAAACTAAACATTAAACAAAATTAGAAAGGATACGACCATTGAAAGAGCACTAGACTGGGAGACTTGGCCCTCACTTCTGGCTCCTCAACCTCTGAGGGGTACCTGATCATGACGTGCCTGGCTGGTTTTGACTGAATTTCACTCCCCACACATCAATTATATAAAATTTATCAATGTAAATTATACATAATCAATATATTGATATCTGACCAATACATAAAATATCATTTACTAAAACGATATGTATAACATATACTCATGTATAAATAATTATGAACACAAGGATGAAATAGATAAAATATCATATAATTTCAATTAATAATTAATATTATACATAATTAATACTATTTTTCCCCCCCACAGATTTTACCCTTGTATTTGCAAAGTGTATTGGGATGGGTTCTAGACAGAGTTTTTCTGTCTCAGATGCAACACTCAGAGGGTGAGGCTCATGTCTCTTACAGATGTAGGAGTTAGCGGAGTGCCAGACACAGACTAGTGTGCTCAATTAATGCAGTAGAGGACAGTGATATTTTATACTTTAAATATTATAAGCTCTTAGAGCTTAAAAATATTATATTTAATGTTCATATCATCTGGATATGAGTGCGCTCTGCCTTGGAGACATAAAAGTCCTTTAGAAGGAAGATCTCCTTTATAAACTATTTAACTTTATATATTCACGTCCTCATTTCACAGATGAGAAAACTGAGCCCTTGAGAATTAAGCCCAGGCTCCTGACTTCTCGCCCACTTTGTTTTTACCACGTCAAGCTCTACTATGGATCAGTGGTCAGTGCGGATCAAGGCGGCCGGACTGTAGGCCGGGCCTTCTTCCTAACAAGGGCCCTTGGGCGGGGGGCTCGGTTCTGCCCGCTCTGCTAGCCGGGGATAAATGGGCGCGCGCACCGGGAGCCTCGGGCCCCGCTCCCCGCCGTGGCCATGGGTTGTGGCGCCAGCCGCCCGCGCCGGCCCGGGTCGAGCGGGAGAGTCAAGGCCAAGGCCTTCCCGGAGTCTCAAAGGATGCAGGTGGCCCGCCTCCGCGCCAAGTTCGACCCCCGAGTCCTCTCCAGGTAAAGCGGGACGTGAACCGCAGGCGGAGGGGCTGGGCTGAGCAAGGTGAACCGCTGACCGAGGCGCCCTTAGAGTTCCCCTCGACTTGACCCGACCTTAACGCTTCTTTCTGATCAAAGGCCTCAGACCTCCCTAAATCGTCTCTGCCCTTTGAGATGTAAATCTTTTACAACCCAGGAATGTCTTTCTCAAGGACCTGGGCGCCAACCTTTTGAAATGTAATCAAAGAAAGATCGAGGCTCTATCTACCAGTGTCTGTGGGAGGGTAGGAATCTCACTTCCATGACACCCCTTCCTCCCCTAATGCCCTTGAGTAATTTCCTACAAGCTCACTCCAGCCTTACAACTCTCTTGCCTTGTGTTTCAACAGTTGAGTTCAGTCTCTCCCATCACAGTAATTTTGACCTCTCTTGCAATAGTCTGGAATAAAGTCTTCCTTGATGTTTTTAGCAAGTGTCCAGTGCAATTTCTCTTTGAAAGAGGGGGGAAGGGCAGAAGATAGGGAAAGTTCAAGACTGAAGAAGTAGGGACTTCCCTGGTGACGCAGCGGTTAAGAATCCGCCTGCCAATGCAGGGGACACCGGTTCGAGCCCTCGTCCGGGAAGATCCCACATGCCACGGAGCAACTAAGCCTGTTCACCACAACTACTGAGCCTGCGTTCTAGAGCTCGCGAGCCACAGCTACTGAAGCCCGCGCACCCAGAGCCCATGTTCTGCAACAAGAGAAGCCACCGCAATGAGAAGCCCGCGCACCACAACAAAGAGTAGCCCCCACTTGCTGAAACTAGAGAAAGCCCGCACACAGCAATGAAGACCCAATGCAGCCAAAGATAAAAATGCAGCCAAAAAATAAATAAATAAATAAAGACTGAAGAAGTAGAAGGAGCCGCAGGGAGGAGAGGGAGAGAATCCCTGACCTCAGAGCCCTGGGGGGACTTGCAATACATACACTGGAGCTGGGGTGTGTGAAGGATCTTCTGTTACCTTCTAGAAAAGGAGATCATAATTAGTGGAATAGAAACAGGGCTTTGAATCAACCAGACTTGAGATCCACTCCTGTCTTTTCTATTGTGTGTCATTGGGAATGTTCCTTAGCCTTTTTCCTTCCTTAATTTCCACCTCTGTAAAATGGGAATAATAATAATAGCTGCCTCGTAAGAATGCTGTGAGGATGATTAAGTAATATATGTAAATGATGCTGCATGGTGCAGGTCCTCATGTAGATACTGTTATTGTCTTCATAAGATGACCATGTAGGAAATGAACAAGAAAGTCTGGCCGGTTGGTTGGCCTGAGAAAGAATTTCCTCAGGGTGCCCCACGTTGGCCAGGTGGAGGAAGGACACAATGGAATCCCCTCCACTCTGCAGCGTTTGGTTGGACACAGTGGTACGTGGCTTGACTGGATTCTCAGGGACACTTCTAGTCCTAGGATTATACGCTCACCTCATCACCGTGTTCTGACCAGAGTCTATGCAGAGCCATTTCCTGGCATCCTTGGGAAATTCTGGTACAAGGATGACTCGAGGATTAGTCTAGTATCTGCTAAGCTTAGAGAAGAACAAAGTTGGCTGATGCAACTGAACTTGAATCAGAGGGGATATGGGGTCTTGTCAAGACTGAATTGATTGGGTGGCATCTCTGGTCATCTGTGGCCAGGGAGTCTGGTCTAGTCTTTATCCACCCTCATAACTTCCACCTCCGGGTTAGTCCCAGGCCCTTAGATTATGACAAAGTCATAGAAGTAGAGGATCTCAATATTGGAAAGCTTTAGAGACTAACTAAAGGCTCTTCCTTAACCAATGAGGAATTGAGCCCCAAAAGATTAAGTGACTTATCCAAGTTGGTGACAGAAATGGGTCTAGAACACAGTTGTCTTTCCTCTCCATTGTGAGCCCAAATGATAGATGATAGAATTTAAGTCTGACTATATTCACTTTCTTCTTGGGAGTTCATTACAATTGCTTCTGTCAAACCGGTTGCAATATTATTATTGTTTCCATGTTTCATTTTTTTTTATCATGTTCAGTTTGTGGCAGCTGAGGTCAAAGTAATAATTTTGTTTCTTATAATCTCTGGGATGTTGTAAAATTGCATGACCTACAAACCTGACTTTGAGGCTGCTTTGTGAGAGGGTGGGAGTGGAGGGTGGAAATGGAGGAGGTGGGTTGGCCTTGTAGATGCATCTTCCCATGCCTGATTCCATTCTTAATGTTTTCAAAATAAGGCGATAATTTGGAAATGATATTCATTCAGTGAATGATTCTCTCATTCAACATTTATTGCTGTCCCCTCTGTGCCAGGCGCTACACAAGATATAGTCACCCAAGTCATAAAAATAGTCACCATTGTCATAAAAATTGTCACCATGCTCATAAAAATAGTCACCATCCATGGCCATCAAGGGTTCACAAGCCAGGCCACAGCTTCAGGCTTTTGTTATGGGACGTTTGTTGTCTGAAAGCATTTATTTGCACTATAAATTTTGGCTTAAAGCTTACTGTTTCTTCCAATGCCAAATTACTGACATTTTTTTAAACATTTGGTTTATGAAGGTTTGTAACAGTGTTGAATAACACTCCTTTTATTTGAGTGAGAGTGTAGTTCCTCAGAAATGGTAATTCGTCTGATAGCTGATGATTAATCCCATGAGCAAATGAATTTTCCTGCAGCTTTGGGGGCATAGTCATAAATTAGTATTTGCAAAGTGCTCTCATCCACATTAGAGGTAATGTGTTGGTCTGCAAAGCAACAGAATTTGAAATGCCTGTGATTATCTTCAAAATCACACTGGGAGTGCATGTGAATAAAAAAAGCAGAGTTGGAAAGAGAAGAGGGGACAGAATCCATTTAAGATTACTAAATTGTTATCTGTTTTGATAAGGTAATTGGCCAGAAAATTAAATGCACCGTATAGAACAAAGCTATTTTCTGTAAGCTGGTACAGCCAAATGCCATTTTTATTCAGTAAACACAGGAATATAAGGAATAAGTAAGTAGACAAATGAAAAAAACTACAGGAAGAATAAACTCAGCAAAAAGAAGTAAGGCTGTTTAAAGTACAGATTGATATTTGCATTTGAATCTTTGGTATTCAGTATGTGACTTAAAGAATTACCTTCTCCCTGTGTCCTCCTTGACTGCATGCCATTCGTTGGCATTCTTACCTGGGAGAAGTTTTAGTAAAGTGGGAAAAGCACCAAATTATGATGCAAGTAAGGAGACCTGGGTTCTAATCCTCACTCCACAAATTAAACAACCAATCAGCTAACCTGATCTTCAAATGTCTTCATTTGTAAAATGAGGGGTTGGATTAAATCATTCTCTAATATTCTTTCCAGCTTAAAATCGTGATTCTAAGTCAAGCACTTTCTCAACATTTCTTAAATAAAGATAGAAGGTTAAATTTTGATAGGATTCTTAAATTTACATAGACATTAACACAGGTAACTAAAGTTTAAGATCCCTAGCCTTTGAAATCCTAGCTGACTTCCTGGCGTTTCTGAGAGATGATTACTTTACACATTACTGACATACATCCCAGGTTAAAATTTTGTTGGCTGTGTAAAATTGCAAGTGCAGTGGCGTCAGGTAGGGGGAACTATGAGAGCTGCTGGCTGCAAGGGGGTCCTGACACCACCGCTACCCGTCTTCTGAAAGCTGCACTTATAACAGCGCAACCATGCTGACTTTCGCAATGGTACATCTACTGAGGAGCGATTTGGGGCGATACCTTGGGTGAGATATGAGTTATGCCTGGGACTGAGAGCTCACAGTCTAGCAACATGAGGAAGCCTACTCTTTGTACCCTGTCTCCTGATATGGTTTCCTCCATCTTTGGAGAAGTTATAAATAGGACTAAGCTTCTTTTTTATTCTCTTCACCTGGTTTGGTGGTTGCTGTTGCAGAATGATAAAAACAAGAGTTGGAGGGAGGAAAGAAAATGGTAGATGGAGGTCCCAAAATTCTTCAAGAAAATTTTGGAGAAATGCATTTGAAGGAACTGGATTTAAATCCCATCTATTCCAACTATCAATACAATCTGTGTGGCCTTGGGAAATCACTTAACTTTTTAATATCACCCAGCAGGAATTTTATAGGGTAGGATTTTAAAAAAATAAAATTCCTGGCACATAATAAATGTGTAATAAATGGTAGCTATTGTTATTAAGATTATTTGTCTTTCTACCAACTAATTACTTTTATATCACTTGCCTCCATTTCAAAAGAGGATTTGGGGTAACTTTCAAAAATAATGAACACAGTTATGCAAGGAAATTGGATGGGGGGAATATAAAGCTCAAAAGGATGATATAAAGCATCTAATTAAATAATTTTGAAAATCACTTCAGAGGGTAACAGATTTATTTGGTTTTTCTTCCAACAGATATGATATCAAGGCTCTTATCAGGACAGGCAGTTTCAGCAAGTTTGTCAGAATGGAGCAGAAGACCACCAAGAAACCTTTTGCAATAAAAGTGATGGAAACCAGAATGAGAGAAGGCAGAGAGGCGTGTGAATCTGAGTTCTCTATCCTGTGGTGGGTTAGCTATCATTACATCGTCCAGCTCCTGGAGATCTTTGAGACCCAAGATCAAGTTTACATGGTGATGGAGTTGGCTACAGGAGGGGAATTCTTTGATGGACTCATCTCTCAGGGATACTTTACAGAGCAGGATGCTGTCAGAATCCTCCACATGGTTGGTGATGGCATGAGGTATTTGCAACGCATTGAAAATAACTCACAGGGACCTAAAGCCCGAAAATCTCTTATGTTATCACCCAGGTGCAGAGTCAAAATTTTTTATCACAGATTTTGGGTTGGCAACTCTGGGAACAAAAGTGGTGACTGTACAGTGAGGATGCTCTGTGGGACCCCAGAGTAAATAGCCTCTGAGATTTTGCTAAGGAAACCTTACACCAGTGCAGTTGACATGTGGGCTTTTAAGGCCTAATCACTTATGTTTTACTTTGTAGATTCCTGCCTTTTGATGGTGAAAGCCATATGAGAATTTACAGGACGATTCTGAAAGGCAAATATAATTACAGAGGAGATGTAAGCGCTCACTTTCTTTCTATTGACTTGGTCTGGAATAGAGTTTCTCAACCTTAGCGCTATTGCTGTTTAGGGCGAGATGATTCTTTATTGGGTGTGGGGTGGGAAAAGGTGATGGGGTGGGACTGTCCTGTGCATTGTAGGATGTTTAGCAGCATCCCTGGCCTCTACCAGCTAGGTACCAGTAGGTACACTACTAGCAGATACTGGTAGAAACTGATTTCTAGTAGCTACACTAGATACACACCTTCCCCCAGCTGTGACAATCAAAATTGTCTCCAGACACTGTTTTTTTTTAAATAACTATTTTTATTTTAATTTTATTTTTTTGTCTGCGTTGGGTGTTTGTTGCTGCGCGTGGACTTTTCTCTGGTTGCAGCGAGCGGTGGCTACTCTTCGTTGTGGTGCATGGGTTTCTCATTGCAGTGGCTTCTCTTGTTGCCGAGCATGGACTCTAGGCACGCGGGCTTCAGTAGTTGTGGGCTCTAGAGCGCAGGGTCAGTAGTTGTGGCGCACAGGCTTATTTGCTGGGATCATCCTGGACCAGGGCTCGAACTGCGTTGACAGGCGGATTCTTCACCACTGTGCCACCAGGGAAGCCCCGTCTCCAGACATTGTTAAATGTCCCCAAGGGGGCAAAATCACCCCTGGCTGAGAGCCCCTGGTCTCAAGGTAGCAAGAGCCTCGATTACTGAGTTGTCTGTGGTTAGCAAATGACATTGACCATCAAGTAGATGAGTGAGTTTGCTGTTGTTTCTCCAATCATCATGCAGAGCCTGAGCCAGCTGAGTAGATTAATGTGTACTCAGAGGCTCAGCATGCTGCTTGGGTGTTTGATGAGAGACTTTCTGCCTTGATTCTAGATGATCCACACCCTTTTTGAGATGTAGTGTTTCCTCAGTGAAATGTTTAACTTCACAGTTTGTGTAAAATATTTATCCATTGTTTAAACTTGGAACTCCCAGTGTTTACGGAAGTGTTAACTTTTTTGTTTTGTTTAAGGAAGGAAAGTTACCAATACTTCTCTGTGGGAAGCCGGACAAAATAGGAAATTCACTTCCTGTTGAGCAAATTTATTTTATGTTTAACTATAAAAGGGCTTTATTTTTCCCGCATAAAGAAAAGTATGGATAGTTTGATTTTACCTACTTAAAGTGTAACATCTATATGTATAACATCTTAAGCAAAATTGAAAGCTAAATAACAAATTGAAAAATAATATTGTCTATACTCTGACAGATTTAATATCTTTTTCTTTTGTTTTCGGTACGCGGGCCTCTCACTGCTGTGGCCTCTCCCGTTGCAGAGCACAGGCTCCGGACGCGCAGTCTCAGCGGCCATGGCTCACGGACCCAGCCGCTCCGCGGCATATGGGATCCTCCCGGACCGGGGCAGGAACCCACGTCCCCCACATTGGCAGGCGGACTCTCAACCACTGCGCCACCAGGGAAGCCCCAAGATTTAATATCTTATAGTACATGTATATGTTTTTTTTAAAAAACTGATACAAATTGACAATTGAGAACTGAGACTTACATAGGGAGATAGGAAAGGATGGGAAGAATTCACAAACAATGTAAACCACTGATTATTAAAAGCTTGAAAAAAATGTCCAGCTTCACTAATGACCAAAGAAATGCAAATGAAGACAACAATATCTTTTCTTTGTCTTTCAAACTGATAAAGATAAAAAAAACAACAACAACACTCAACTTAATTCTACTCATTGCTGCTAATAGTACTAAGAGATTAGCCCTGTTATTCACTACTGGTAGAGGATGAATTGTTGTAGACTTCTTGGAAAGTAGTTTGAAAAGATACATCTAGAACTTTTAAAAATTTATGTATTTTGATCTACTAATTCCACTTTTAAGAATCTAAGGAAATAATCTCAGATGCAGCAAAGATTTCAGTGTCAAGAGGCTCATCTGGGCTATACTACAAAAGTGGACAATTGAAAAGAACGCTAAGAGAATGTTTGAATAAATTATTGAACATTCATACGGTAGTCCCTAAATTATTCATGCTTAAACATTATAAGGGTATTGGAAAATATTTCCGATATACTGCCAAGTTAAACAAAAAAAACAGAATACAAATTGTGTATACGGTATTAACACAAATCATGTGGGAAAATGTATGCATAGGAAATAGTCTTTGAGGAAATACAGTGCAATGCAGTATAATGTTAACAGAGCTTATTTTCCGGTTTACGGATTATGTACCATTTTGGTTTTCCTCTTTATAGTTTGAGTATATCTGTATTTCTGTTTTGGTTTTGTTTACAAAGAACATATATTTCTGTTTTGGTTATCTATTGCTGAATAACAAACCTTCCCTGAACCTAACGCCTTAAAATAACAACCATTTTATCATGACTCATGATTCTGTGGGTTGACAGGGCTCAGCTTGGTGACACTTCTGCTTCACATGATGTTGCAGTCATCTGGTTCTTGCCTGGGATGGAATAGCCATGATGACCCCTCAAATGGCTGACCTCTTGGTGGGAAAGCTGGATTAACTAGATCACTGGGACCACTCCGCCTTTTTCTCTCTCCTCTCTCTGTACATCTCAGGGCCCTTTTCTCTTCATGGGGTTTCTCCACGTGGTCTCTTCAGCAGGGCAGTCAGATGTTTTACATGGTGGTTTAAGCTTTCCTAAAGGCAGTATTCCAAGAGGGAGACAAGAAGTCGCCAGTCCTCTTCGAGGCTGGGCTTGGAAATGGCACAACATCACTTTTGCCTCATTCTATTGGCTACTGTGAGTGCTAGATCAACCCAGATTCCACGTGCAAGGAGACCACATAAAGTGTGGCTCCAGGAGGCCTGGTCCATTGGGGCCACATTTGGACTAGATATCACAATGCCTTTTTTAATGTGCAAAAATAATAAACAATTATTCTATTAAGAGGTCCTTTTGTCAGGTTTAATTCAGAGGGTTTCTAACATCAGGTTCCTCAGAAGGCAGCCCTGAGAAGAGGGCTCATGTACAAGTAATTTATTAAGGATAGACTCCCATGGACACAGGTAAGGGAGTGAGGGAACCAGGATGGATAGGGGAGGAGGCCAAGGCCATGGAGGTGAGCCCCATCCCACAACGTTGTTCCAGCCTGAGACAGGTGAGCTGGGTCTTCACTCCCACCCCTCTCTGCTGACCCGTGGGGTGGTGGTGATAAGAATGCTGTGGCAAATACTCACTGCTCTCTGGGATCAAGACAGAATGACCCCTGAAGCCCAAGGGTGATGATGAAAAAGATCGAGGTGCTGCGTTTCAGAAGCAAAACACTCCAAAAGAGAAGAGTATACGCACATACTGAAAAGAGGGGCTCAGCGGCAGGATGGAGCACTGATATCTCCATGATGTCATGCTCTGTCTCTTGAGGAAATGCCTGTCTGTAGCCCCAGAGTACTGAAAGCACATACCACAGAGCTGAAGTGCAACTGCTTTTAATAACTTATTGGATTTATATTCCCTTGGCCTTCTTCCCCATGCTTGTCAGCCACATATGTCTACATATTAACATTTTCTTTTAATATTACCAAGTGTCTTAGTCATCTTGAGCTGCCATAACAAAATTGCTACAGACTGGGTGGCTTAAACAACAGAAATTTGTTTCTCACAGGTCTAGAGTCTAGGAAGTCCAAGATCAAGATGCCAGCAAGGTAGGTTTCATTCTGAGGCCTCTTCTCTTGGCTCACAGACAGCTGCCATCTCACTGTGTGCTCATTTGACCTCTTCTTTGTGTGCATACAGAGAAAGAGAGAATGAACTCTCTGGTGTTTTTTTCTTATGAGGACACTAATCCTATCAGATCAGGGCCCCACCATAATGACCTCATTTAACCATAATTACTTCCTTAGAAATTTCATCTCCAAATACAGCCACACTAGGGGTTAGGGCTTCTATATATGAATTTTGGAGGGACACAAACATTCATTCCATGACACCAAGGAAACATATGTCGATAGACTCAGATAAGGGTATCATCATGTTTTCTCTGTCATAATATTGTTGTCTATACCTATCAAGAAGTCTAGTCATTTCTAAATGCACCAATTTTATTTAAAAAGCAGGGTGACCATCAAGTCTGGAAGCATAGGTGTGATAGACAGAATAATGCCGCCACCCCCCTCCCACACACCCGGCAAAGATGTCCACATCTTAATACTCAGAATCTGTGGCTATATTAGTTTACAGGTCTTTATACTAGTTTACAAAAGGAAATTTGCAGACATGATTAAATTAAGGGTTTTGAGGTGAGGAGATTATCTTGGATTATCTGGATGGGCCCAATGTGATCACAAGTGTCTTTATATGTAACGGAGGAAGAAGGGTCAAAGTTAGAGGACATGTGAAGACAGAAAGATAGGTTGGATTAATGTGTTTCGAGGATGGAGGAAGGGGTCACAATGAGCCGAGAAATGTGGGTGGTTTCTAGAAGCAGGAAAAGGCAGGGAACAGATTCTCCCCTAGAACCTCTGAAAGGAACACAGCTTTGCTAACACCTTGCTTTTAGTCCATCTCTAAGAGGAACACGGCTCTGCTGACACCTTGATTTTAATCCCTAAGATCCGTTTCAGAATTTTGACCTGCAAAACTGTAAGATGATAGATTTGCACTGTCTTTTTAAAAAGTCCTGTTGTCTATAACTGAAATTCCAGGTGTGACACATTGTGTGAATCACTTCTTTTCTCTGGAAGTCAGACGGAAGAGTGAAATAAATAGCATCAGAACATCCAGAGATCTCTTATGGTGAAGAAGAGAGACATGTTTAATATAAATAGCTGATACTTTACTAGACACCTGGCAGATCTGTACTCTAGTCTCACCCATGTCTAGGCAAAAAATTAGCTATAATGTTAATGTTTAATTTTTCTTGATTTTGGTGTGAAGTACATTCCTTTTCATGAAGCTTTTATGACCATTCCACTGTTGTTCTTTCCTTTTCTGAATACTGTTTAGGATTACCATAAATTTCTTTTGTTTTGGCACTTAATCTATGTGTCATCTTTCTAAGATATTGTAGGCTCCTTGAAGGCTGGGATTCTGTCATATT